GTGAAGGGAGACTCGGGAACCGCGTTCGCTTCTGCGGGGACGACTCACCCCCGCTGCCGGGAAAGATGTCGGATACCAAGGTGAAAGTGGCCGTCAGAGTCCGGCCCATGAACAGGCGAGGTAATAAATCCGATGGAAGAATAGCGATCACGCTCACCTCTCAGTCCCTGACTGATCCCCTCCTTCGCCCCCCGTCCTCCTCCTCCTCGGGCAGACTCTTTGCAGAATGCACTTGTTTGCAGAAGGGTTGGGGAAAGCAAAGGTTCAGAGTTGCAGCCTTTCGCGGGGCGGGGGGGGGGGTTGTCCCGACTTCAGCAAACTCTTTGAAGCGGCAGGAGCCTGGGAAGCAGGCTTGAGTGCAGACCTGCGAAATGAAGCTCAAGTGGTGCGGTGTGCGGGTCTGGAGCTGTATAATAGAAATCTTGAATGTCTTGCTGGGGTTCTCCCCGTACTCCTCTCAATACAGTATTTTGGAGAACAACGCCCATCTCGTTTCCTATACTTCTAGTTGTAAACGGGAATTGTTTTCTAGACATGAGAAAGAAACAGGAAAAGCTCTGCTGGCTAGAGATGAAGTGCATATCATTCGGGGAGAGAAAGTTCTGAAGTCCCCTGTGTTACATTCCAGAGCTAGAGTTGAATACCAAGTGTATTGTGGAAATGGAAGGGAATCAGACCGTGTTGCATCCTCCACCTTCAAACAACAAGCAAGGAGAAAACAGGTAAAGAACAAATCCAAACCTGTGTTCTCAAACAAGAGAATATGCACTGTTGTTACTTGTCAAGTCAAGAAATCTTTATTCGGTGATTGATCAGCATCTTTTGTTGTGTGAGCAACAGCTGCTTCTGTAACATGGGGTTCAGGAAAATAGTGGTTTTGGTCATGATCCTCCTCTGGGTCATGCAGGTACAAAATAGAATAACATCATTTAACCTGCAACTGAGTATTGAATTGCGTGAGCAAAAAGTTATTAATGCTATCTTTTAAATGATTTGCATTAGTGTGTTCATGGTATTTGGGGTTGATTTGAAAGCAAGATATTTAGAATTTCAGGCAGTAATCGATGCTGTTGGGGCTAAATGCAAATGTACATAAATATGTGCAGATGCATCTCCTGGATTCCTTATTAATTGTGGTTTATTTCAGTTGTGAGAGTATATCTGGCATTTATTTATAAAGCCCTGAAAAGAGCAATTGGAAATCATCCAAAATACCAGTGCATCGGACTTTAAAAATAGATCAGATTTTTTCCCTTCATTTCGGGGTCAGAAGAAGGATTTATGCAGCAGAGACGCAGAAGGAAAATTTACATTTTCTAATTTTTGATGGTGATCTCCTGACTATAATATGAATTTGACTCTATGCATGTTTTTATTCAGTGGATCTGAGTTACAGCTTTCTCATAAAAAGGAAACTCTTATTTTTTTCAAAGTTACATATCTTAGTTATGGAGAAGGGAGATAAGTGAAGATTTGTTGTGTTAGGGAACTGTATAATTTTAGAGCTTCTTGTATTACTTATATTCCAGTATTTGTTATATCAGGACTTTGCTTCGGGAAATAAAGGGAAATATTAGGGCTATGTGAAACTTCGATTCAGAGATTTTATTTGAAGGCAATTAATTTGACTCTCCCAGTTGAATTAGCTTTCCAAATCAAATCAGAAGGCCAAAATGGATGCCTTCACATCTATTTAAATTATTTCAAAGCTTCTGCATGTGCACAGAAAAAGTTTTTATTCAAATGGAAATCCAAATCAAATTGACCCAATTAAGCTCTAATAGCTGAATTGGATTGATTTTTCTGAATCTTGATTCATCAAATCAAATCAGTTTTCTAAATCAGATCCATTTGAATTGGATCAGGTTGATTATTCTTTTGAGCAATTGAGACACAGTCCTCTATGTCAATGCAACAACACTCAGTAGTTGCCTAGTATAATGTTGTATGGTAGTCATGGCATGGACTGCCATGACTAACATACAACATTATACTAGGAGTGCAAGTCACTATAATGTAGATTTCAGTGACATCTGAATGTATTAACTGTAAGGCTTCAAGAGGACGCTTCAATGAAAAGTGAAGAGAAGCCCGCTCTAGAATCTGTTTTATGAAGCAACATGGCTCCTTCACTTTTCACAGTGAAATGAAGTGGCCATATTGTGTTGCTGTGTTCTGCAGCATCCTGCAGCTCCTCTGACGCTCAGAATTGGCAGAAGAGTCTTCCAGGTCAGCTACTAAAAGAGTTAGAAGGAGCTTCTGCACAAGTATAGTATTTTACAGAAACTGTACCAACTTTTGCAAGTGCTGGAGGAGATTGCAAGGTGATGTGAAATGCTTGTTCATACAAATTTTAGTTGTTACATGTTACTGATTATGCCTGCAAGTAGCTCTCCAAGTAGCTTATACTGTGCTGAAAACATATACAATGCAGTCTAATAGATTGAAATAAACCACAATGAAACCATTGTGAAACAATGCAACAGGTGAATTAAACACTTGCTTTACAGCTTTTTCAGAAGAGAGAGCAAGATAGGACTCTTATAGGAGACAACTGCAGAGTCTACTGTTCACTAATGAGAAATCTCTATCTCTCCTTTGATAGAACTTCAAATGGAAGTAGGTTGTGAATCAGAGCTTCCAGAATATCATAACAATATTAAGTCTGGCTGCATTTTGTACCAGCCACAGGTTCCAACTATTTTTCAAAGCAGCCGGTATTTGGCAATTACATATATACCTGCTTTAGAAACAGCTCCAGTGAAGTACCACCCAAAGCTGAGTGGTAATTTTTTGAGCCACAGTGGCTATCAGCCCAGGAACAATGATGGATCCAGAAGTCCTCTCACATCAGACCTGATATTACTAAAAGATTCTCATCTATCCACTGATTTAGTTGCAGTTTCTCATTTGTTATTAATAGCCTAATGAAGCTATAGTCCAATCCCATCTAGAATTAGATATATCCAAAAATAGTAAAGGTAATCTTAAATATGTCCAGTTCTACATAGAACCAAGATACTATCACTTCTTACTGTTTGTCTTGCTTAGTTGCATGGTCCATGCAACTTGTTTTGTACTTCGCTCACCTAGTTCTTAAAACAAAGCTTATCGATGCACAATGTGAAAGGGGGGGGGGGGTTCAGCTGACTTGTCACAGAGCCTAACATTGATTTGGCTCCCATGTCTAAGGGAAGACTAGAATCTGGTCTCCCCGCTCTGAGTCCACTTTTAACCATTACACCATGCTGGTTCTTGCATAGAATCAAGCTGATAACATGAAATTCCCCAACCAAAAAAGTCCCATTGTAACGTAATAATTTGTATGTCTTTAAGTCCTAATTGTTTTATACATTTTCCACTGTAGAGGTTGAAATGACCATTTCAAGTAGGGATGTGCAAAGTATTTTGAGTTGAAACACCCCGTATCAAGGTGGGTTATTCAGACCAATCTGGAAATGTTTCAAACCCAGAAGAATTCTTTCCAAGTTCAAAACAAGTGCTTTAAGGTTGAAACAGGGCTATTTCAAACTTTAAATATTTCTAGGGTGATTGATGCAATCTATTTTGGACTTGAAATATTTTGATTTTAAAATGGTTTGCATATTCCTAATTGCAATGAGTTAAATCGTTTATATTTTGGTAGATTATATGTTATGCAGTTTTTTTTAAATGCTGTATTTAGATTTTTTTTTAATTACAATGTTTTTTAAACCATCTTTTCACTAGAAACAATATATGCCATTTATAGTGGCTGATGTGGCTTTATTTATCATAGCTTCAAGCCTTAGAGCAAGTTAATAGGTAAAGGTTATAGCTCTGGTGAGCTAGTAGTTCATTGTAAAACCCTCAACTGGATCTTATCTAAATGGAGTGTCTGGTGAAATGAGACAGATACCAACTGTTTCCTTATCCAACATATTATCAGCCAGAAAGAAGCTGCTATGCAGGCCCTCTTAATATCACCTGCCGGAGAGAGCGGATGGAATAACAGCTGACTGCATCCTTTGCCTTTATTTATAGAAAACTGTAAAAAAAATTGATTCTGAGTTGTCTTAAATTGCTTATCCTGTTCAATTTTTTTCAGTTTATAAAATATTAAAATATTAAATAGAAACAAACATTTACGCATTATCCATGTTGCATTTGTCTCAGATGGTGGCTGAGATACTAATCAGGAGAGTGTTATTCTGAAATTATGAATTATTAAAACCCAGGTCCTAAGATGGCAGATCTTTGGCAATACTATTTAAGATATTAAAATAAGGATCATATCCAGAAAAGCTTCTTTTCTGGACATGATTCCTATTCAGAAATATTACAGTAGATTTTTTTCAGCATTTTTAGGGGGAAATCTCAGTTTAAATAAAGCTTTTAAAAATTAGACCTTCTGTTATTATTTTCTTGGTTTCATAGAACATTTTCTCCTGAGGTTCTGAATAGCTAAAAATGTGCATTTTTGCCTATATGGAAATGGATCTAGCAAAAGAAAGTATGTTTGTTTTGCAAACTTTGGAGATACAGTTCAGTTAAAAAAGAGCAAGCATCTCACTGTTAACAGCGTTTTTCTGTATCTACTTCCAGTTAAATATGTGTGAAGTTAAGATACAGTTAGATATAAAAGCAATAATGATGCAACAGTCAGGACAAAAATACCTTAAATAGTATAAAGATGATTCCTTTAGGCATATCCAACATACAGTGATGCAGGTTACTTGCAATAGCAAAAAGCAAAACAAAACCAAAAAAACCCTTAATTTGTTAACATCCAGAACAAAAAGATTACATGTTGTTCTTCCACTATCTCTGACTCTTTGCCCTGAATCAAAGGCAAGCAAGTCCTCTAATTTCTGTATTGACAATATTAAAAGAGCATATGACCAACTGTGTCTATTACATCAGACCCAAGGTTCTGAATATAATGCTATTCTAAGATGGGCGTGTTGGCACCCTCCAAGAGAGGTGACAGAAAAGCATTAGATTAGTCCAAACTAAAGGCTTTTGTAGGATTCTTGGATATCTGGATAGACAGAATTGGATTGAAAAACCACAGACATCTTGCTGGAGTACATCCCTATTTTTTCCACAAGAAATTTTAAATTCAAGTTTCAAACTCAGTATAGCTTGCGCGCGCGCGCCTTCCTTCCTTCCTTCCTTCCTTCCTTCCTTCCTTCCTTCCTTCCTTCCTTCCTTC